TGAGCTGCAAATGAACCAAAACTTAAGGCAAACTCATAACCGTTAGCACTGACGACGGGCTCAGTTGTATTCATGAGACCATCGTTTCTATTGCATGACTGCATTCAAACCATTTAAATACAGTTCACTATTTATCCGCTTATTGTCTCTAATCCTATGTAACCTTTAGGGAAATTTTCACTTATTTTCGCATCAATTTTGCCATTTAATCAATAATTCTCTTTAATAATATCTGCATTAAAATGACTTAAAATTTAAATAAATAAATTAAAAATGTTTATTTATTTATAATAAAAATATATACAAAATTATGTATATGATTTAAATAATCAACCTATTTTAATTTATCAGTAAAATTAATTTTTATGATTGATTTAATTATTTTCTAAAATAAACAATTACTAAAACAATTAAAAAATTAAGTTATATTTATTTCAATCATTATTTCGTTTAATAAGATGTTATAATATTTATATGTTATTTTTATGCTTCATTTATTAGCTGATACTAATGGAAAGGGATGTAGTAGTGATGAGGCAGTATTATGGACTCATCAGTATTAAAATAGAGTTGAGTTGATAGGACAGATGGTTGGTTGGTTGGGTGCAGCGATTTATGTTCAAAACATATAACATATATTTTTATAGAGAAGGCATCATTGGGTAGACTAAGTGTAGAATAAATAAGTGGAGTGTCGTATAGACATTATATTTGTATTATATAGAGATTGGGCCGCAATATGACAATATCGGCAATATTGAGGCATCGGTGCAATGCATGAGAGCATCAGTGCATCACAAGTGCATCCCTGCGTGCACTCAATTAGACGAACGCCAAACTGTATCCCTTAGGAGTGAAACTCGAGATACAGATCACAAAAATAGGCATTAATGGCAAAATTGACGTAAAATTATTTCAAATACCAGTGCTTCCAAACATTATTCTCTTACTTTTAAAATTATCTCCTTTTCCATTAACTAAATCTTATTTAACTTTTTATTTGTTAGCTTTTATTTCTAGCAATTCATTCAATTGACATCAAAATTGGTGGTAATTATTATAAAGTTTGCAGATGTTGTGCACATCTATTCACAGTAACTCCTATTTGATAATATGATTTTTAGTCCTTTATCTGTTTAAAAAATAATTACATTTGATTATAACAGTAATAATTTAACGCTTTTCAACTTAACTTTTATTAGTTGTTTTATGGAGTGAGTGTTTGGGTGGAGTCGTCAGTCCAATACAAACACCTAAAGTTACACATCTTTTTACAATTATTTGCATTGTTATTGACATATGTTGTGCCCATTACTTGTTATTAACCCATCAATATATATATTATATTGTATATAATATGAGTGCTCTCAACATAAATGAGAGGACAAACCAAATAATTGCTGCAAAACTATATTCAATTACATATTATGCTTAAACTGTATATAATGCAAATGTATGATAAAAGCCACAAAAGTGGAAAAGGCTGCAAATTGGCGGCACGTGTCCTCCTATTGTATAATATGTTAAAGTGTGCGCTATGTATACGGCTCTACCAAAACTATACTCTATATTAAACTACATTCGCCTACAATTGCTTTGCATCTTATGCTTTGATAGGCGTTTCAATTTTATTTATATTTATACAACAAAACTTACAAAACATTATCTAATAGTGAAAATACACACAAACACACACACACACACACACACACACACACATGCATACATATCAATTCAGTAAATACATTTTAAAAAACTACATTTATAACTTATATAGTAATTACTGTATTTTAAAAAATAGCAAAATTTGTGATCTATATCAAGGTTTTGTCAAAAAGTGCGATACTTTGATAAACTAAGCAATAAAACCTAACAGTGATTTCGATTACTTATTTACGAAATGTTTTTTGAATACTTCTTAAAAAAGTTTTCTCAAAAGGCATCAAAATAATACAAATAGTGTAAAACTGAGAGTAACTTTAAGCTATTAGTTGTTTTACTTTTAAAATGTCAATAAAAAATGAATAAACACTCAAATATAAAGTACAATATTTTTACTGATCTACTCATCTCTTGTTTTTATATTTATGTTTAGTATAATACACTTTACTCTATTTTAATCTAAAATAAAATATAAATTTAGTCTAAAAGGTTTCCGCCCTTAGGTCACAAATAGGTATATAAAGCTAACTAAGCGATCGATAAATATATGCTTTTAAATATTTACAGCAATTTTAATAAATTTTTCTCAAATGAATTTAAATGGTACTCAATAATAATGATAATAATAATTTAATGAAACCGTTAGGCATTTATAAATGTAATAAAACCACAATATTTTAATAATACGACAAAAGTCAAAACCATTACTATTAAATATTCAATAAATGTATTTAATTATTTTATTTTAAACATAATTTATTTATTAATAAAATGTACCATAAACATAATTTAATTATTTAAATATTGTAATTAAATAAATTATTAAAGTTAAATAATACTATTTTCAATAAACAGTATATTAATTTTATAATTACTTGTTTTATTTTTATTTATCTATTGTTACTCTATTATTATCTTTATTATTATTAATAATAGATTTTTATAGTAAATATAAACAATAATACTATATATGCATAATAGAAAAACAACTTATATTAGATTTATAGAAAACATTGACAATAATAATATTGTTTGTATGACTTTAAGCGTGAGTTTATCAAATAAATGTGGTATAAAATAAATTTAATAATTTGATAAAATATCGCAAATAGGTTCAAATCAACAATTTCTAAGTGAAGTACAATTGAAGTATAGTTTGGTACACGTAATCAACTCTATTGGGGATAAAATAGTTTTGAAAAATAGGCGAAAGAGGCAAAAGAGGCACAGGAGTGGCACAAATGCAAAGTCACTGTTTGTGACATAACTCTCCAACTCATACAAGTATTGACGTATTTGTGTGCATTTGGTGCCCAACCCCTCGACTTTAGCAGATTAGACCCAATCGAGCATTTATAGCGATCCATAAGCATAATTGGTACCATTTATTAATTTTTAATAAGCTTTTCTCTACGAAATAATCATTATAATGAATCGCCGCTTAATGTACTTCTTATAGTCTTTAATACTGAAATAACATTTTTATGTAACCATTTTATGCAAATCATATGCTTTTCCATTAGAAACGTATGATATAATAGTGTATTGTAGTGAATAATACCTATTGTTCCTCTTTTTATAACATTTATTAAACATTTAATCATTGATAAGCTCTTGAGAGAGATTAACCAAAATAAGCAAATCAACTGAATCGACCTGTGATTGTAATTGTCTATTATCAGTAAAATAATATTATTGCTATACATTATATAAACACTATATATTCATTGATGTCATATAATAACACTTTATATCAATTCTAATCAATATTCACTTTATATTATATAATATATTAAGTATAATCAAAATACTGTATATTTTTTTATTCATTATTAAATAATGTGTTGTTTTCTAAAAATACTATACAACTATTTATTTATTAAATTTGTCTAAAATTTTAAGTAAATAAATATTATTATTATTATAAAAAGTTATATTTTAAATGAATACTTTATTAATAAATTACCAGGATAGAATAATTTTTATGTAAAATTTTGATCAAAAAACAAAACACTAAAATAAAAGAATTGCACTAAAGTGTCTTTAAAGGGGATATATAACATTTTAACAACTATTTGTATCATAATGAGACTATAACGGGTGTGTGTGTGTGTGTGTGTGTGTGTGTGTGTGTGTGTGTGTGTGTGTGTGTGTGTGTGTGTGTGTGTGTGTGTGTGTGTGTGTGTGTGTGTGTGTGTGTGTGTGTGTGTGTGTGTGTGTGTGTGTGTGTGTGTGTGTGTGTGTGTGTGTGTGTGTGTGTGTGTGTGTGTGTGTGTGTGTGTGTGTGTGTGTGTGTGTGTGTGTGTGTGTGTGTGTGTGTGTGTGTGTGTGTGTGTGTGTGTGTGTGTGTGTGTGTGTGTGTGTGTGTGTGTGTGTGTGTGTGTGTGTGTGTGTGTGTGTGTGTGTGTGTGTGTGTGTGTGTGTGTGTGTGTGTGTGTGTGTGTGTGTGTGTGTGTGTGTGTGTGTGTGGATATATATGTATGTTTGTATGTGTTTGAGTTAACTAAATACAGTACATTATAATGTATTAATAGTAATAAATAAATAAATAAATTTTACGAATAAACAGTTTGATTAGTATTGTAGAGTATATCCTATAAAGACATAGTTTGTAAGTTAAGTACACATTTGTATGCTTTTATGATTGCATTAAAATCATTATTGAATGAAGACATACGAGTTGACGATTATTGACGACTCCGTCCACTAAAAGCATGCTTTAAATCACTGAAAACATTGTTTTTATTTGTGTTTCAAATTCATTGGGAATTGTCTTAAGGATTATAGAAGTGAATAGGATTTGAGAATCACATATAAGTTAAATAAATTGTGACCATTAAAGAGCAAATGGTTTTATAGTATAAAAACTTTTATTATCCAATTTTCAACTAAATTAAAAACATATTATAGTAAGTAAATCATATAATTAAAATCTATCTTCTTAATATTTTAATTATATATCAATTTGGATACTATCATTAAATATCAACACATTAATTGTTTATTTCGTTAATTAATTATTTATTTTATTTTTAATAACATATATTTGAGTTTAACATTTATATTACATTAAGTACTTAAATTAATTGAAAATATGTTACTGTAGTAAATTACCTACAAATGATTATTATTTTGAATAATGCATTAATTAATGTTGTGTTAAAATCAAAACTTCAATTTATATTATATAATTAATATAATGATATGTTATAAAAATGACTCAAAATTTACTTGAAATTTATGCTATTTTATAATGATATACATTAAATATATACAACATTTATTTATATTATACACGATATACTGCATAATTAATTTATATACAGTGACAGTACAGTAGATTCTATAATATATTATATAAACTAAAATCAAACCAAACCCGATATGGTTGGTGTGCGTAAAGCGGATGCATTGGTGGCCACCGATGCCGAGGCCACTACCGAATTGACGTGCGATGCGCTTGATATGAATGGTGCCGAAGATGTATGATGTGACGGATGGTAATAATATGATGAAAGTGCGGCCTGTAATGAAGCGGTCGCATTGTCCGCGTGACCCGAACTACTTAGACTAGAACTGGTGACTGAAGAGGGATTGGTATTAAGTGCTGATTCGTGAGTGTTGTGGTGATGATGTGCTGAATGTCCAGTTGTGTGATATAGTATAGGAACGGCACGTATACGTTGAGCGGCCGCGTGAGCCATATTCGCCGCCTCCAACTCGGCTGCCAACTGACGCTTCCATTTGTTTCTTCGATTCTTTATATTAAATGCATATAAAATTGCATACAATAACTAAAAACTCAAATTTCAATAAAAATGAATTGACTTAATAAATACCTGAAACCATATTTTCACCTATTATTTGTTGAATTGTTTGTATCAAATGATATAAAAGCAATTAGTGTCTGAAATTGTTGTCAAATATGTTATTTTGTATTCAAACCTGAGTTTCAGTTAAATGAAGAGATGCTGCGAGTCCTGCCCGCTCTGAACTCGACAAATATCTCTTCATATCAAATGTCGACTCCAACTGAAATACTTGACTTCTGGTAAATACAGTTCTGGTCTTCTTTTTTCTTCTGTTACCATTAATGCCATTATTATTGTTCTGAATGTTTGAATCTTTGTGTATTAGGTGACCATTTAATTTGTTTTTATCCTCATCCATATCTTTTTCAGAACCACTATCTGATTGGTTATCATCATCCATGTCTATGTCTTCTCCATGATCTGAATGAGAGATATTGCAGTGTCCGACACAGGGAGACATAGGACTCGAGGCCATAGATCTGCTGTCACTTCTCTCCATATAATTGACATTAATTTTGTTGCTAATCGTTGCAATCGATTCATTATTATTGGTAAGAGAAACGCTTCGTTGGTTAAACACTAAACACATGCAATGCAAATGTAAATATAAATAGTAGTTAATTATAATAATTATTGAACACATATGTTGTAGACATCGTTTTCAATGCACATACAAATATACACATATTATAATACAGGCATATATTCTGTATTATATATTGATTGTTAGTTGTTTTCAAGCATATCAAATAATCATTTAATTATTAGTTTTTTATAACTGAATTTTTTAACACTTCAAGAATATGTAAAAATAAATAAAATTTTATTTATTATAAACTCTATACTAAATTAGGCAGACTAACTCTTTTAATAATATTAAATTTAATAACACTTATAAATATATATACAAATTATATTATTGAATATAATACGCAAAAACAGGTGGCTTTCGTGACTCTAATACAATTGACTGTATATTTATTAGTACTTTAATAATTTATATGATTGCAATGTATATTTTTAAACAAAAACATATATCTATAAATTATAATTAATTTAACATATTATTAGACACTAATTGATGTTACTATTATCTACTCTTCAATGATTAATATATCTGCAATCTAAGAGGTTTAAAAATTAAATTTACATTTAGATATGCAATTAAGTGAAAGATATGCGAATTAGATCTTAATAAAATATAGTATTAATAATGTAATTTTTTACTTAACTTAAAAATTCAATAAATATTATAGTAATTTTTGGACAATTTTACTTAATTTAAACTAATATTGATATTTTTATCAGTTTATTCTTAAAATATCGATATTCAAAAAAAGAGAGTTGTTATGTCAAATAGTGTATACTTGAAATTAAAATAAAATAAAATGCTTAATACTTGTAATAAAAAATAGAAAAATAGAAAAATAGAAAAATAGTTAAATATTAAACATAAATTATTTAATCAATATTTTTTTATAATTAAAATAGTGTAGATCTATTTAATTATTTTTGTAATAAATAATAATTTTTATACTAATAATAAATATACATTTTTATAAAGAATAATTTCAAAATAATTGCAAATAAAATATGAAATAACTTTATGATTAAATTTCATTAATTGTAAAATTAACTAAATATTTAAACCAATGATCACAGGGTGTGTCAGAAAGACATTCATTGAAAGTAATGATGAATTGGCTAATCGTTTTGGTTATCATTTAATATTTAGTTCTATTATAACTACAAATGTAATGTAATGTCAAAAATAATACTATTATTAAAGTATTAAAATTAAGAATAATTTATTAAAATAATTTTATGGTTAGTTATTTTTATATAAAAGCAAACCATACAATTGAATTACTATTAATATAGCAATAAATGAGTTGATTTCATGCACTCAAACATTATTGTATTGAACTCAAATAAAATACTGTATTTAAGTTATAATCAAATGTCATAATTCTTACCCAAATCTTTATTAAAAAGCAAATGATGTGTATTTGTATTAATGATTGGAGTACTACTAACTAAACCCGGGGTAACCGCCCAGGGATACCAAGGAGTAGGCTTTTGTGGTATTTGATTACTCGATGCCAATACAGCTGGCATTAATGAGTTTGCAGATACTGTTACTATAGATGCCGGTCGGGTTGGTAGTATAGATGATGATAGTGTAGATATTATTGAAGAGTCAAGTGATGGTTGACAATAACGAAACACTTGATTTTCTATTATTGCAATTTTCATTTATTTATTAAATTATACAATAGTAATCTAACTTAAAAATATATCTATTACTGTAAGATACAGTATATACTGTATACCGGTATATAAAAAGTATAAATACTAAAATTAAAAATACAATACCGGATAATATGTTGGAGTCTTGTTTGGTTTGCTTAGAGACGGGATCTTCTCTGTTAAGAATACTAGTGATGGAAAATGGTATCGAAGGCTTAGTTATGTGATTATTGTCGTTGAGTTCACTTTTGGTCGAAACATAACTTGTTTTAATAGCCGAAGAATTGCCAATTTTTTCTTTAATATTCAACGATTTGTTGTTAAGTGTCGACACATTAGAGGAAAGCGGAGAATTAGGTGCCGAAGCCGTGTAGTCAACGATTACGGGAGAACTTTGTGGTGATGTTTCGTCAGAGTCCGATGACATTATTATAGCCATATTTTAATGAAACTAAAAATTTGAACTAAAAGTTGACTTCAATTAAGTAATGGACAACTTAGTTATCAATGAATTTACAAATAATTGTTAACATTAAAAGATTGAACAAACAATTGAGTAAAAGTGAAAGATTTGCCTAAATTTGTGAACAGTTGAATTAAATGCTTATATCTGATGGCATACAAGTGATGCTGTGATGCACTGGTAGGTAGTGATGCTGAGCAAGCGCTCTGCTAATGGATTGCTGTACTATTGGTTGATATAATAATAGTCGCAATCTTATTGGCAATCATTGAGTTAAGTAATTCAACGAACGCTTGTATTGTATACTTTCAATAGTCATAAATTTGTATACATATAATACATATGTATATAAATAAAACAATGTTTTGTTTTGATATATGCTTTCGATTGAATTGTTTGTACTTAAAATAACTTTAGTGTATAAAAGTATTATTTATTGAATATATTTGAATAAAAGTTTAGTTAGTTTTAATTTAAGGCAATCCATAATTGGCACCTTTATCTCAAATCAATTTATCTTAAGCTACGTTAATAATAAACAATACAATAAAGATTTGCCTTAAAATGTCAAACTCGATGTCCTATCCTATTGTATTGTCTATTATATTAATTGGATGTTTTAATATTTAGTCTAACTATGAACTACTTTTGACCATTTAGTTAGTCTCTAATGATTTAAACTTTTGAGGAAATCCTTACACGAATCTCTCACTACAATAGGGATCAATTATCCCCACTTATGTCCACTTAAATATTTCAATGCATTATTTGCTTAATAGATAAACATTATTATAGTACTGACAATACCTGTGGACAATCAGACAAATACTGTATTGTATTGTTCTCAATATGTACTCTCATTTTATTCACTATTTAAGCATTTTTCAATCAATTTGCAAATAAAGTTCACCCAATCATTACAAATATATTCACAAAATATTATAAATTATTTTGACATTTTTCATACAGTACTGCATTATTAATATACAACTTTTGTTATTAGATTTATTATTGAATATTATATACAGTGTGTATAACAAAGCAACAATATTGTAATTATACTTAAAATGTTAAACAGTATGAAAATCTTTATTATGATAAAGCATTTAATGTTCATAGACTTTGTTATATTCAATATATGAAAGACAAATCTACATTTATCAGAAAATTATTTAATTTTCTATATCCTCTATGTTAACAATCATATACTACTACAATATGTTATAAAAATAATTAAAATTTAATACTTTATAATTTGAAATTATACTTTTATCGTTTGTATAAGTTATACGTACTAAAAACATAGTTTACATATTATTAAAAATTATTTATATTGATTATTAAAATATATACTACACTCATATTTATTATGAATCCTAAATAGTTTACATTTACTTTATGATATAATATCAAAATGTTAACAAACACAACCACATTATTGATTTAAATTTGATCTCTTCTGTGTAGACAATATAATATTATTTAGTGAATTCACATTTAAGTAATGTATGTCAAATGTGATCAGATTTCCTATAAACTCCAATTAGTTTTGATTGAAGTTTTATATCAACTTATTTGAAGTACACCTTATTATTGTTCATAACTGTAATCATTATATACACTATATTTATAAATATAATGTGCATTCTATAGAATAATGTTAAAAAAAGTACTCGCATTCAAGTAATCAATATTATATACATTGTATTGTTTGAATGTTTTATAAACTAGAGAATTAGGGAGAGAGGTATAGACAGAGAGAGAGAGTGAGTGAGTGAGTGAGTGAGTGAGTGAGAGAGAGAGAGAGAGAGAGAGAGAGAGAGAGAGAGAGAGAGCCATCAATACGATATTTGATAGCATATGCACTCTACAGCTATATAGTCTAAAAGCGGTATATATGGGCAAAGATAATAAAAGCATTGATTGTAGAGAATAGAGTATATACTGTATATACACTGTATATTATATTATACAGTCAGATATATATATATATTGGCGTTTAGTTTGTGCTTCACTGATAATGTGATGTTCCTCATTGCGGTCCTCATAGGATAGCATTTTAGTTGTGACTCACATTTAAAACCTATTGATAGGTCAGATACATGTGTACCCGACCATTGTTTTGATCCCCATCAACATCAACTACATTGACGTTCCCATAATGGGTCCTTAAAAGCGATAATTCCTACGAGTAATAGACATCAAATGCATCAAACATTTCATTTGATACTAACTTATACACCTCAGGCATAGATATATATAAATTTAAGTATACTATTATATGTTTACTGTATATATATATATAACTCATTCACTTTATTTATCTATTTATATTTGAATTAGTTTTTATTTTTAGTGCTGTTTCATTGTCTATATAAAATATTAATTGTTATACATTCAATCAACTATAATATTTATAAAATAATTAAAATATGTATTTTATCAATAGTAAGTTGTAAATCATATTATAATTATCTTTTTTATACTTTCCAATAAAATTTTTGCAAAATTTTAATTATTTTTATACTAAAACCATATTAATACACTCATATAATATAAAATGTATTTAGTAGTTAAAAAAAATTAAATTATATATTTTTTAAAATAAATTTATTGTTAATTTAATTTTATTTAGAATGACTAGTGTTGACCACTAAATAGTATTTTACTATTTTATTAAATAAAATTTCTTTATTTTACCAGGTACAGATATAAATAAAATAAATATTTTGATCATTTATATTATTATACATTAACTATATTAGTGGCAAACATATACTGTAACATAAACATATACAATACTAAATAATCTTGTATTTGTAATTTTTTAATTCAATTTATATCTTATAAAATAAAGTATTATACATAGAGATGGGCAAATAGAAAGTTTCTAATAAATTTCCCTGAGAAAGTTTCTAGAAAGTTTCTCAGTAATAAATTTCTATAGAAATTTAACTTTTTTGTTATACTATGGGATCCCCATATCTATAGATATTATAAAACTATAAATATATTAATGAGACATACTACTATACAGTATATATAATATTATACTATATAATGTAGATTACTGTATAATACTATTATACAAATGGGATACCTATATAAATAATTATAATTATTTAATAATAAACAGTTTTGTAAAATTTTATTCACCATTTTATTATAACATAGTTTAATATAATTAAATAAATTACTTTTTTACTTTAATTAATAATTAAAATATTAATAATAATATTTAAATATTACTTATAAAAACAATGTTAAAGATAACAAATGTCGACAAAACAAAATTAACCATGGGGATCCCATAAATAGAAATTTCTTTTAGAAACTTTCTAGAAATTTCTCTTAGAAACTTTCTAGAAATTTCTCTATTATTTTATAAATTTCTCTTTTTTGCCAACACTTATAATTTATACATTTTGTATTATTATTATATATTATATTTGCATATTTAACAATTTAATATTTATAGTTAAAAATAATTGAAGACCGAAGTGTGGTTTAGTGATAGCCTAATTGGTTGCCGAGCAGTGAATTCCGGGTTCGATTCCACAGGACTTGTCATTTGTGTTTTTCACAAGTTTAAGCCATCTCTCACTTTATTACAACGAGTCGGTCATAATGTTTGATTGAGTCAAACAATTGTGGACCAAACTCGTTGTGGGGGAGGGGAGGGGACGTTACCTCTAAACCAAAGCTCAGTAGATAATGTAACCAAAAATTATTTTGTTTTTTTGCTGTCATCTAATATATAAACACTAGAAATAATAATATCTATATTATTGTATAATATAAATTATATAAATATAATGCATATAAATATATTATAATTTATTTATGTTGATTTCTTAAAAATACAAATATAATTCAGTTACAGTACTACTACTACATATATACTTTAAATGATGTTTTATGTAAATCGTGTTTACGATTTAGTAAAAAAAATGTTTTTTTTATATAAATAATTTTGTGATTAATTGTTAAACTTTTGGTGTAAATTGCAATAATAATGTTATTAATAACATGTATTTATAAAATGCTAATACGTGTAGAATATTCATTATATATGCATAAAGTCTTTATTTACTTTAGTGACACAATTTGTTAAAATGTTTGGCGACTCATGAAATTGCAAATTAAGTCATAAATAGAGATATGTATAGCATTCAGGTTTGTTAATTGACTCTGACTTACATTAATAGTGCCGTTATATTTGTAAATTGGTTTTTATGCTTAAATGAACGCTTTCACTGAGAATAAGCACATTTATTATATTAAACATCTTTATATTAATATAATTTCTATTACATTATAAACCAACTTATTTTACTATAATTCAGCAAACATTTTATATATTCAAGTGCTTTATCTATCAATACGTATATTATACTCTATATTATTTGAATTATACAATGATTTTCATCTCTTATTTTTCATTATATATTTATATTTTTTAAAGCTTATGAATCATTGTATTAGAAAAGAGAAAGCAATGGACCACAAAATTGCAAAAAAATTGACGTTTGAAAAGATAACACTATAGAGACCATCACATCATTGTTCAATTGTTGACTCAATTTGTAATTTACAAATGTAAGGCTTATAACATTTTAATATAATTGGCAATCATTTTAAATCATCAATTATTGTATAACTTATATAACAATAAACTATATAACAAGGTGATAATATTAAATAGCATTGTAAACAGTCCATTGGGTCTAATGTGTTCAAAAGGTAAAATAAAAATAATGTTTTACTTAAATGATTTTTATTTTGTAAACTTTTAATACTATTAAATAATAATAATAATTGTGGTTAAAATTTAATTATAAATTAAATTACATATAAATAATTCTATAATGTATTATTGATAATAATAATATCAAAATTCAATAAAGTTTAGCATTTACATGGGTTGCAGAATTTAAAAATAATTAATTATTTAAAAATTAATTTTTTATTTTAAATTGAATATTTTAGGAATTGAGCACAAAATACTTT